AAGTTCGATATAAGGTTTTCGTTTTACCTTATTTAAATCTTCGTGCAGCCCATCCAATAAGAAAGCGAGCAGTTCCTGAGACAAAAATTTAATACATCATACACAAAGCAAAAAAAAAATGAAATATTCTGGGTAGCAAAATAACAACAACAATGCCAGGAACAATGCACCATCATACATAATAGAGAAAATCACTAACTTGAGAATCATGCTGATTGTAACCACTAAACTGTGGAGCAAATCTAGCCAATTTTGTCTTAAAAGAGCGTGGTGCAACTGCATTCTTTCCTGATGACCATAAGTTCTTCAACAAATCACCAAATGCGATAGCAAGCTCACCCTGGATAATTAAGTATTAGAATTATATTCAGACTGCATGTGACCACCTTCACATGAGGAAATGGAAACCAAAATAAGTATCAAGCACTTACACACATTCCCAAAGGATTATCTCTATTTATGTCCTCACTGTAATCTTGCAAGAAGTATTCCATAATTGGAGGTGTGTGAGCCAAACATTGAAGAGCACTATTCATAAAGCAGGTATTTCCCAGATTACTCAATCCTGCTAATCCTCCCTTCTCTCCTTTTCCAAGACTACTCAAAGAATCACCGCCATCGTCTTCAGAAGGTATTCTCGGAAAGAGACTAAACTTTGACGTGTTGGAATGGCCATTTGATAATGTAGGCCCCCCAGCAATTGTAACGCTCGACCTTGAAGGTTCTAGAGGTACCAGAGCTAACTCGTTTCCTGCCGAGCTCATTTCATATTGAGATGCAGACGACCCATCAACTTCAAGAAGAATCTGCATGGGATGCACCAGTCAATGTCGGGGAAAAACGAACATTGAAATTGAGATAAATGGGATTCAGTTTTTCACAGTAAAAGAACTCAAAAGGCATGGATTATCCAACAAGTTCCTCTCAACAAAGATTTTAGATAATGAGCCAAAATCGAGTTAAGAAATTTTTTAGTGCAAGTGAGAAAGGTGATTCGTCAAGATTTATCAAAGTAAGTATCACAAAAAATTCTCTAGATACTTACATCTTGGTCCATATGAAGGCTTGACTCTTCTAGGGTCTTGGTAGATGAAGGATCCAAGAGTCGGTTTTTCCTCTTGTCGAAGTAATCCCAGATGTGAGCCTGCTTATGCATATCATTGTGAAGCAAAGAATAAAACATATCATTGTGAAGCAAAGAATAAAAAATGCATATTTCAACAGAAACAATAAAACTAGATATAGAAATGAATCACTTCAGACACACCTTTTCTTGCGCAACACCTGTCATAGAGCAAACTTTCTCATAAAGTTGCTTTACAGAGGCCTAAAAAACAAACAATGGCCAAATTCGGGCCTAGTGGTGAATACACAAAGACTGGCTATGTATAAGCAGAACAAGTAGGTCGAACCAAAACTAAGAGCCAAAGTAGTATGATGGGGCACCTAATACCTGTTTTCCCAACCGTATCGCTTTTTTACTTTCATCTCGTCTGTCTGTCAACATAAGGCAGAGTGGGTACACCTCAACACTATAACTCCTACTGTAAAACCCTTGACAGATCATCTTCCTTTCTATCGGAGGACCTCCGGTATACCTAAAAGGGATATAAGACCAGGTTATGCCCTTGAAAGCATATTTTATAGGACAAGGGCAGGTATATAAGCAAAATATGGATCTTGTCCAAAGCCGAAAGACTTGAGTATAGAACTAAACACAAATCAATCAAACGATGAAATAACATAGGAAACACTCACCATTCAACAAGTCTTTTCCAAACTTCTTGAGGAACTAAAACGTAGTCTTCTCCATCCACCAGCAATCTACGAAGTTGTGGATCTTTATCGTCGCTTTCACTTTCGATAATATCATGGTTATCAATCGGTCCAGGCCTCGACGCTTCAGAGGACTCTCCACTTATACATTCACTTATCGATTGCTCAACATATTTCTGCCAGCTTGTATACCACCTACACTAAGACAAACAGAAACTACGACTCAGAACACACAAATTTTAATTCCTCACCTAAATCTTAGAATCTATAGATCAAGATTCACAACAGTATAGAGAAAATAAAAATCTACACATATATTTGAACAGGATAGGCATTAACAATCAAATCAGTGAAGCCAATTAGCATAAATAGTCCATGCATTATACTACTTAGATCATCATCATTATCAGCTAACGAAACGCAAAAAGCAGAATCAACTAAAAGGAACGAGAGACACCTTTTAGAGATGACAAAATAAACGTTCCCTTCGTTCAAATTACTCTCTGATTCAGTAGTCAGCTCCGACACGATACGTTTCTCTTCCTCAGGAGTGAACGGCAAATCACAGACTCCGTTCTCAACCATGAAATCGGAATTAGGAATCGTCATCTTCAATAGATGATGACGAGACTAATGATAACAAATAGGAACTAAGATGCACCAATTTCAGACGAAAGCACGGAGAATCGGAGAAGAAAGAATTTGAAGGAAGCCTAAATTGGAGGAGAAGAAAAGAAAGAGACAGAGTCAGAGAAAGGTCTTTTGTTTGGTTTGGATCCAATTAACACTAAACCGTTATCAACCGTGATTAGGTGATTCGGTTTAGTTTTTTAATTTGATCCAACACTGTCCGGTTCAAGTTCGAATAGAAACGTTTTTTAGTTCTTTTCAGTGGCAAGATTTTTATGGTTTGATTAAACTTGAATGCAGTTAGGTGCAGAAGCTTTAGTACATGTTACATTTCAGATATATGGTAGTGCCTCTGGTCTACAAGATCTAAATCCCAAAACTCACCCATCACGTTTGGTATCAAAAGTGGACAATGTATTGAAAACTAAGATTACAAATATTATAGGCATTACACTAAAAAGGAGTATTTAGGATTGCCAAAGTGTTTTAGCGGATCCAAATGAGAGCTCTTCGCGATCGATTACCAAAAGACTACAAGGGTCTTTGGTGTTAGTATTATGCATATAGGCGTTAGTATATGCTACATGCATCTCTAGTTTGCAAAGATTGTTCAGAATCAAATTTTGCCGTATAGTTGCAAGATCCCTAGTTCAACTGGAAGCTTTTTTCGTCTCAAGAGGTTTGATATTTAAGATAATGAATCAGTAGGTCACAAAAATTCTATATATGAGTGCTGAACACCATAACAAAGGCTATTTCATCTCTACACTTCTAAAGATGTTCATCACTTGATTTACCCCAAAAAATTACCCCTTCAACTAAATAAAAAAACTCACTAATCAAATAATCTTCCGAACCTAAATCCAATCTTTCCACAGAGATCTGCCGTAATAACATCATAAAACTTGAAGCAGAACACTCCAACCAAACCGCCAACTTCAAATCAAGAAAGAATAGATGTGTTGTCATCACCTGACATGAGTGAGTGCTTTGTCCATTATAAGACTTTAGGCATGACTAATCCATATCACTTGGCAACTCAGCAGCTGTTTGTGCCTCTGTTTCCCTTTTAACTCTTCGGTAGAAAAGAACATATGCAGCTGAGCTTTTGATTTCAGATTCATTTACAGATGACACATGACTGTCGTCGAAATGATACCATTTTTCGTCATCAATCAACTGCAGCAACAGTGAAACATGATCAGATAGAGAACTCATCAGAAGAACTACTAGCAAACACATGGGATATTGAGACCAATCGAGTAACCAACCTTAGCGTAGGCTGTGTAGTGACCACCACCAAGTCCACCGTAATGATTACTAACGGCATACAGCTCATATAAATATGACTGGCCATTCTCGTTTTTCACATACTTGCTCAAATCTAGATCATGAATTGGGAAGTTCACAAGCGTATCAATCTTGTTCTTGAGATATCTGCTATATGTGAACCGTTTCAAATGGAACACAAGAATATCTGGCAATTTCCACAGGTCTAGCTTTTTGTTCGCTTGTCTGTGTTCTTTGCAGCTCGGACAAAACCTGGTTCAGAATGGTGGATAAGACGGTCAAAACTAAATCTTCAAATGAAATCTATCAATTTATGTGACTTAAGTTCAGGTTACGAGCTATACCACATGTCATCCGGTCCCAGAGGTTCTTCTGCTAAAAAGGCCTCCAAACACGAAAACAGGGATATAGCTTCTTGCCTTGTCTTCTTTGCAGAGAAACTTGATTTATGAACCACCGGAAGATCACTCAAGTAGCTAGAATCATATTTTTCATGCTCACTCTCATTCCACTCGACTAAAACTCTTGTAACGGTACCAGGGCTCACAGAAGATTCAGTCTCAAGTGGTTTAAAGTTCAAACCACGATCATCTGTCAAGAATATTCTGAAGGACAACTCTCGATCAGATGCATCGTCTATCTCAGTATCTGGGGATGATGAACTTCCGGATGTTTCTTCAGCAGTAGCATCAGCAAGGTGACCATTGTCATTTCCATTATGAATATTAGATGAGGCATGGACCTTGAGCAAAGGTGAAAGAAATCCAGAGATAACTGCATCAATGTCAGTTCCACTTAGTGGTTCTGTGTTCACATAAGTCACCAAAGGAGTTCCAAAAAGCTTGACGTCTTTGCCTCTAACACTCTCCACAACATCCCTGTAGAAAACAATAAGTATGAGCCATAAAGTTTAACCCAAGAGGAAAAACGAAGTGTTCTTGTATAACAAATCAAACCAAGCATGCTTACCTCTCCTGCCCTCCATGAAGGATTTCGAGTTTTGCTTTTCCTGATCCTTTCGGAATCTGACTCAACCGGTACGCCACAATATGGTCATCATCTTTTATCACACTTAGTGAATCCAGGGGATTCTCAAAATACCTAAAGATCTTGTGATCATATACCTGAAAGGACAATTCCACACAATCGTCAGCGATTTCACCCCCAAAAAAACACGATGAAGGAAAAATACTAATACAAGGATAGAAAACGCCCAAATTCATACCTCTGCAAGTAAAAGGCTCTCATCAACGGCTAAGCAGCAAGCAGTACCTAATGCAGTAATGAGGTCTCTACAAGATCCATGTTTAGGCACTGTTACAGTGTATGGCATCGGAAGACGACTTCCATCGCAATAAAACACTGTAACCGTCATTTGCCGCGTAAGTGTTGATGGCAAAGGTACAGACAAGTACATAAAGGGATCAAAAGTGATCGAGATTTTTCCGCAAACTGGACAAACGAGAGTTGACTTGTATTGGCCCTAAAAAGAAATTAAATACACCATAAGAAATGGTCGGGAATATACAGAAACTTGTAGTACTTGTATGAAAAATTGGAATCAGATGAACATTCAATGATTAGGAAACTGTAAGAGATACTCACTTGACAGACGTTAACTATTACAGAATCATTTCGGGCCTTATGATAATTCCAAAGCTCTTCAGCAACTTCATCATCCGGACGACTGTCAAAGTCTTTAAGTTCAATGTAAGGCTTTCGTTTTACCTTATTTAAATCTTCATGGAGCCCATCCAATAAGAAAGCAAGCAGTTCCTGAGACAATACAAAGCAAAACAAGATGAAATATTCTGGCAAAGAATCTTCTCAATTATGCACCATCATACATATTAGAGGAAATCACTAACTTGAGAATCATGCTGATTGTAACCACTAAACTGTGGAGCAAATCTAGCCAATTTTGTCTTAAAAGAACGTGGTGCAACTGCATTCCTTCCTGATGACCATAATTTCTTCAACAAATCACCAAATGCGATAGCAAGCTCACCCTGGATAATTAAGTGTTAGAATTATATTCAGACTGCATGTGACCACCTTCACATGAGGAAATGGAAACCAAAATAAGTATTAAGCACTTACACACATTCCCAAAGGATTATCTCTATTTATGTCCTCACTGTAATCTTGCAAGAAGTATTCCACAATTGGAGGTGTGTGGGCCAAACACTGAAGAGCGCTATTCATAAAGCA